TGTACTTTCTCGGATATCAGAGAAACTAGATATTTGAATATAATGCTACTATACGTATAATTTATTAACTGCATATACATGCAATTTATCGACAAAAAATTTCTTGTCTCGTCTAAAATAAACAAATAAATCGCGTGTAAGAAAGTTATTTTGATTTACTATCATATATAAGAACAACGATTTTATAGAGCTTGTGTCTTTTATTAAACTTCTAATTAATGATACTATAATGAAATCATTAATAACAACTGTAATTGAAATTAAAAATTAATATTCTTTCTCGATATATTCAGTTATATAGGTATACGTCGAAATTAAATATCGCCAAAAATATTCAATGATGAGAGTAAACATCGTACATAACATTGAAGTATCGTGTTTTATTCCATGAACAAAAAGCTTTACCAAATGTTTTCGACGTTTTCAATGCAACTGTACACGCTCGACTATACAAGAACAAACTCAAACTGCTATTCATTTCGCTATGTCTAAAAAAGATCACGCAAATATGGAGAATTTCCAAAACATTTATCGCGTTTTGTCGCGAGCTTTGTTAATGATAACGCGCAAAATAACTTTCTATATAAAAATTGCACAAAAAATCCATTTGTGCAAAGAGATGAAAAAATACAATGTCGATGGGACATAATCGTCACTTTTATGGTAACTTTAGAGATATTTCTTGTTCATAAGGTTGAGTGCTATTATGCATAATGATCTGGCGTTTCTTTTTATAAGAGATCCACTATATGTATCTGTACGAAGAATAAAGTTAGTAGAAAAAAAAAAAAACAAACAAAAATTTCGATATCGACGATACCGAACAAATATCTCGTAATCGTAAAACTCTAGTTTTTCAGGAGATTTATGCTCGTGCAACAATTTTCTTCTCAAAATATTGCAATTGTGAAAACCCGAAGCTATACAAACTCATAAGCTTTTAGAGTTCTCTGCTATTACATTGCAACGTAAAAGCTATTTATATACCTATATGTGTATACTTTTATATAATGATAGTTTCGCTTAGATGTGTTGTTTCGATTTTCATTCGTATCGGTATTGGTGTTCAATAGCCAAACGATTCAATAGATATTCAGTGGTCTCGAATTCTCGCGATCACAAACGTAAGCCGTTGTAATTTCGTTTTAAATCATTCGTACAAATATACATAGATTTTCATCCTCGACAACAGAATGACAAAGGACACGTAAAGAGGATGTGTGTCCATTTTTCTATATTTTCTACATTATCGGTTCGCCTCGATCCTTTCAATTTTCTTCATTCTTGTTTGAACATCGATTCCGTGTGCATCTCCTATCCTTTTATTAGCCATTTTCATAAAGAATGTCTCTTTTGCTTGTTTTTCCTTCTTACTTGAAAATATATTCGATGCAGCGCACATATTGCACGGTCACGTTCAGAACATAGCATAAATAAAGTGGAAATATCTCATCGAAATTTCAACGAAAGACGATCATTCTCGCGGATGTTATCGTATTGATTCGAGAAGCGACTAGATAGAACCGCGTTAGAACATTAGACTGCCGAACATAAATTATGAATCTGGCATCGGAGTGTGATGCCGATAAGTATTAGTTTAGTTTGAAATTTGTTAGCCGAGCCGGGCATTTTAGATACCGGGCTTTCACGAGGGAAAAAAAAAAAGGTGTACGCGGCAAAGTTAGATGAATCATGAATAAATTTACGCGCCGAACCTTTATTCCGGGGAATGATCCAAGTTTCTTTATAGTATATATACTCTCCTCGCGCCACGGTAATACCGTAACTTGTATCTCGTGGCCGAACATAAATTGCACGTACATGTAAATTAAGTGTGTGCTGCCGTTCGCCGAAATTTACGTTCGCTGTATTAAATATCGTCGTCGAAACGAATTGCTCCCTACGTAATCTACCTGTTAGCAAAGTAATATCTATGCTGCAATATGTTTCGCAATATGAGAGACAATAACTCTCGCTTCCCCCAAGATTTCATCAAAACACTTCAACATTGATCATTAAAAATTACATTAGTCCGCAATGTGTCAAAATATCCATTTCAGTCTTCAATCTGTTTGGATGACTCAGAAATTATCATATCGTTACGTATATAAATTCGTCATGCGGCTTCGCAGTCGTGCGGTCAGATTTTGAAGAAGTTCTCTTTGAATTCTCTCTTTGAAAGAGATCGAATCTTCTACGAGGTCTGTCTCATCGCAGACAGAAATAACGCTTGTTCGTTCGAGTTGACAGCGGCACTCGAGCGACTAAATTTGCAACGCCCAACCGGGAGCGAGTCAATTAGCCCTGCGGAAAACTTTCATGAAGGGATTACGATGTCAACAACGTCTTTCTTGCGCAAAAGACATTCCGCGTGCTGAACAAAACTGTTGTTTATCAAAATGGCAGTCTTCCAAACGCGCTGTCAACTTTTCTAAATCATGTCAAATGTGCTTGACTATTTCACCAGTTTATTTACTTCACCGTGCATCTTTGTCTTCACGTCAGTTTTCATTATTCAATCTATAAAATACCAACTGTTTCTAACGTAAAGTTTAGGAGATTTTATCATTTCTGTTATCAGCATTACGTATGTATTTTTGTAATTGAGAATTAAAATAAGTCTATTTGTTCTCTCAAAGCTTTTCGTTTATTTCTAACTCACACAAGTTACAGATGCTTCGGTGATTTTTCATTTAAAAGCGAAATCAAAGTTCAAAAAAAGTGTATTCGATAAAAGATATATCCCGCATAAAAACAATACAAATATCAATAAGAAGAGTTAATTGAATGAAAATAAGATTCGAATGATTTAATATAATTGACGCAGTATGTATTAAGCGAAACGAACGTTGTACAAAAGTACAACGAAAGGGCCGTCCTCGTTTTACGTAAGAAAAATGATTATAGCTTCCATAACCACGTTATTAAATACGAAACAACTTATCACCACGGTCGTCTACATCATTTATTATTAATTCTGAATATTGGCGCGCTCTCTCTCTCTCTCTCTCTCGCCAGTGCGCGTATACATAAATCAGAGACAAAGACGTTAACACATATCGCGCATAAAAAAGCCTTTGTATAATAAATGTATAATAAACAGTAAAATTCTAGATCAATTATTATTCGAGTTATGATGGCTTTTAAATCGAAATGAGGATATAATTACAATTGTAATTTAATTAGCGAGATTGCTCGATATTACATTGTTAGACGTAATTGTAATTTAACATTTAAAAAAAATGACTTTTATTTAATTGAATTAACATATTGTGTACACGTAAACAATACCGATATACACGAGTGTACATCATGTATTTACAGTATATCTTGTTATGAGATGCAAATTTCTCTCATAACAATTTAATGTTAAATTTTATGTTCCATTTTCAATTTACAGCAAATTGGTCTGCCGATGTAATACTCGATATATCATTATCCTTTATTCAAATTTTTTTACGATAACCGTAAGCGAAGCGCTGTCAGCGTTTCTATACTGAAAATATTCACAAACAAACGCAAATGGAAAAAGTGGATTCAATAGCATCGCATATATTTTTGCAGAGCATATCTCACATAGATTCGCAATACAATACAATTCGTCCCGATTTCATTTATCGATATTACGTTATCATAAATTGACGATTAATCTGTTCTCGCGTTTTCATAAACATACTACGTAGAGAAATTACTTTAGGAAAAAATTTATCGCTTTTTCATCTATGAATAATTGATTGCAAAAGTATAGTAATACGATTAATCGCCAACTATATATATTATACATATATTTACGAAATAAATCGTGATACATTCGACAAGATCATTCCACCAGAAAAAAAAGATAAGCAATATGGAATAAACTTTTGTTTGTTTACGTGTTTTTCGAGCAAAATAACTTTGCGAATCGTTATACGTGTCCATTTGGTACGTATCAATTTATTAGAAAAATAAATATCAAGTTGAAGTTTGAAATATAAAAAAAAATTGAAAATTACAATCCGATAAATTTCTCATATATCTTTTATAGAGAATCAAATCGATTCGGTTTATTTCCCATAAATGGATTATTCGAGAAGACGACGACGACGACGATGGTTTGACCGAAAAAGCTTTTTCCCTACAAGCATAGTTAAACTGTATCGAGCGCGAAACTCGCGCGATATATCGAAAGTTTCACGGATCCTTCCCGCCTCACCTTCTATTACAGCTAAATCCTTCAAATCGAAATCGATCGCGATACGATGCGAGGCTATATGGGCGAGAGCACAGTGACTTTTACGATTCTATTTTAGGTGGGAGTGTTATTGGGACTGTGCGAGAGGAGGGTTGTGTCTCCGATCGATCTCCTCTCGCTTACGTTACGCCGACTCGAACAGCCGCCACCACCAAGATTCACCTCCGTTCGTGCTAACCTCCTTCTATTTTCTGCGGGTTCTCTCGAGTGCTAGTTCCTCGAGTACAGTTTCGCGAGTTGCGTCCCGTTCGCGATCAATATCGCTTTTGTGACTTCTGCTCCGCAATCTTGAGAAGCACTCCACGTATACACGCGCTGCTTTCGTACAATTCTAATCGAGGCAATGGGTGAAAAAAAAAAGTTCGCGCGAACGGAAACTCTCTGGTAAAACAAATTAATAAATAAATATTTGCGCGCGGATATACTCGTGTCAAAATTGATATTCATTTTATTAGCTATTAAGTATATTTTATATGCAAAGCGCGTATAATACTTTTGAATATAAATCCTCTTTTCTTTCTTTGGAGAAGATTTATTCAAGTACCTTGAGAAAAAGCAGCCTAGTATATACATCATATATATATATATATATATTAGCAGCTCTTTTAGCGTTATAAATGACTGCGACGATTTTTGAAATATGGTCGGAAGAGAAAAAAGATTAGAGAAGCGCGAGGCTATTTAAATCTTCCTGTCGGTCCTCCAATTTAAATCATTCTTTGTCGAGCTCTAGGTATTGGAAACTGTTATATAGCGTTAGACTCACCTGGTCGGCGATCTCCGTTAGGTCGTGCAGACTTATGTTGTAAATGGCGTTCCTGCAAAACGAAACGAGAGCGTTAAATCCTACCCATAAATCGTGTCCGCGTAATCTCTGCGCTTCGCGCGCATCTCTGTGTCGACAATTCGGATTGAAGCGCGAGTAAGTAAGCACATTAGTAATTATGAGCGAGACGTAAAGAATTAATTACAAAAAAAAGGGGGGAAAATACAAAACAAATTTATCAAGAGGATATACGTAAAAAAATAATTGACAAATATAATACGAGGCATATAAGAATAATTCGGATGATTTTCCAAATCTCTCGGATACAGTACGCACGCGCGAAAGAAATGAAAGTGCGAAAAGATAAATCAAGCGAAAAAATTGAAAGGACGAAATTGGAGTCGTAAAAGATCCACGCTATATATCTCGAACGTAATTGATTTTACGACTCACGAACATTGTGCTGACCGTTGGTGGGAAGCGCGATCGGATAAAAAAAAAATTAAATTATTTTTTGATCCGTATCAAATTTCCATTAGCCGATGTATTTGTATCAGATTCCGCGGAAAGATACGCTTTTGATCTCCAGCCCGTGGCTTTGCTTGACCAGATTGATAAAATAATATCAAAAAATAGAAAAGTTTGCGAGCACGCACAATACAGAATGACAAAAGGAAAGACGGAGCCCTTTAAAATATTTTCGATAACATTTTGAACGAGAACCCTCCCTTTTTCCCTCCTTCCTCTCTTTGTATCTCTTCTATCGAACTGCTAGTTTGGTTCAATAACAAGATGACAGTTCCTTGACTTCGTTCTTTGATCAATTTAGAGTTCACCTTTTTCTCAATAAAAACATTGAAAGATCAATATATCTAAATTATAACTAAAGACAAACACTCTTTTGAAAATTAAAGACGTAATTAATATTAGAGAGGTGCAGTATCACATTTTGCAATTTAAAATCTAACGAGTCCTTTAATCAGATTTCCTTTTAACAAGATAATTAATGTTCAAAATCGAAATTATACGCCGTGAAGAAATTTTTAGCAAAATGGTTAATGCAAGAAGATTGGCCGAGAGATTCCCAAGAGATATATCGCATTGTCTTGGAAAGCAAATAAATTGCTTCGCGTAAACAAGTTCTTTCTGTAGCACGCGTGATGCTGCGTCACTCGCGCCGCTGATGCGTAATCGAATGAATGACTCGATCCCGTCGGCCACTTGGGGCTCGTGGCACCAATAAGCAGTCTAGCCGATGACTATCTCATTTATGTAAGCCCCTATGAGTAACACGAGGGGACGACGAGGCAAAGAATCGAATCATGTAACAATTACCTGGCACCAATCAGGATAGAGGTTGTCGCACGTTCTAGGAGTTTGAAGTGCTCCACGTGGCTTTCATTGCCCAGAAACCGCTGGCCAATTACCTCGCCTGTAACAAAAGAAAAGAAATTTCATTCAATTTTCTGACGAATAAAAATCGCGAGAAACATCCATTATACATCTAATATTTATAGAGAAATTTAAAAAAAAACTTTGGCCCCCTTTTCTTAGAAAAATCTAACGATAAGTGACGATGTGTTAAGCGTAAAATATATACTTTATTTACCTTTGCAATATTACATGATATAATCTCGTACGATTATTCGAGTTTTTTAGAATAAAAATCGCGAGAAACATTCATTATATATCTAATATTTATAAAGAAATTTTAAAAAAAACTTTGGCCCCCTTTTCTTAGAAAAATCTAACGATAAGTGACAATGTTAAGCGTAAAATATATATATCTTTACTGCAATATTACATAATATAATCGTACGATTATTCGAGTTTTTTTAGACCTACACTTCAATATTTCTCTGCCAGAGGTTAACAATCAACTGAATGAAATAATGTAATAACTGTGCAATATAACTCTCATTTTAGCGTTCAGCAACTTTGTCATTATAAATAAATAATGCTTTAGTTATGTGTCGACATAAATTTTGTTGTGTATTTTGAATATGCTTTATATAATACAAATACTTGTGTCTAATCGACTTAAATACAACATTAATTATGATATTTATATAATGTATAATAAATATTGGAAAATAACGTGTTGTATATAATTTACTTCTTGAAATAATAATTGCAGATGATATTATATTACAGAGATGAGGTTTCATTTATTTATATAATGTAAAAAAATTCTATTCGAGTAATGTAAAATGTAAATGAAGAAAATAAAACGCATGTAATAGCGGGAAGAGAATATTCAATACGAGTATCTATTCCTTATAAAGTATTCGCGAAAAGTATCTTTATGAATTGATCAATCATGTACTTGAATCGTGATACGTGTCAGACTTTGCGATCTCCATCTCGTCACGTTTACGAATGAACCATTTAAATATACATTATTCGCGCTGGCACACCTTTTCGAGGTATGCGCGCATTAGTCATATATATAGAAACATATATACAAAACACACGCACGTACGCATTCGCGGCACGCATATATGTATATTTATACTAGTTATAATGTGGAGAGAATTTCAAAATTAATATATCGCATTTCTACGATTCAACTGCCCAATCTAATTAAAAATCGATTCCTTTTGAAACCTGATAAATCCAACTCTCGTTTTGTCTCAATTTTCAAATATGTCTCTACACTAAAATATCGCTAATGCGCTCATTGTCAGACGAAATCTCATTGTGAATTAAAAAGGTCTGGGATACCCGGTAGAATTCATGACAGAAAGGCGATATAACGACCGCGCATCTCGACAAGAAGAACTTGTTACGATAAGCGGTCGGAATGAAAAAGGGAAGAGTGGAAAGGGGATGGAGAAGATATCCAGGAAGCACGTGTAAAAGAGTGTAAGGGAGAGTATCTCTTATGTAGCCTTTAGTCGTGACGGAGCGGCCTAAAGCGCCGCGCCTACTTTTCTCTCTGCGCCCCATTCATCCCTCTCCCACAAACCCGCAAACTACCACCGGCACTCCATGTCGTTTCACGACCCTTTCTTCTCTATCCACTCTATACGACTCCCTTTACCTCGCCAGTCGAAAGAGCGCTCTTTCCCCTGATATTTTCCACGTTATGTTTTTTCACTTACGTACATGCAACCACATTATAGAGCATAGAGTATATCGGGGATAGAGATGAAAGAGAGAAAGAGAATAAGAAGAGCATTTTATATCTTTTATATATATATATATATATATATCAATACGAGACGACGAGATTCTTATAGAATAAAATTCTCTGCAAAACTTGCTCAACTGCGTTGGAAGCAACTTTATATATAATAAATTATTACGTAACACGGGCGTATGAATGCAATCATATCGTTAAGAATATTAAGAATCAAATAAAATTATTTGTTAATAGAAAATATTTTTTTCAATTATAAGAAAATTGTCATATTAAAAACAAACTAAATAAAGATACTTGGCATTATAATAAATAAGAAATAAAATAAGAATGGTGCGTGCTTTTAAAATGTTTTTTTTTATTATTGCTATGCATTAATATCTTTTTAATTGTTTCTTCAATATGCTACAAATTATAGAGCGATATTTGTTAAGAATGGCGAAAGAATGAACGATATAATGTCGATGACAGACAATGCATCCTATAAATGTTAGCAGTTGGTGTAATAAAATTTTTCATATAAAACACGAAATGTAACATGTAACGGTGTGCATTCATAAACGTTGAGAAAGAGAAAGATTTCAAATAGTACTCGATATAACAAAAGCTTAACGTTTCTATCGAATATATAAAATTGCGCGGATCAGTTTTCCAATACGTTAATCGGCTCGGACAACATGTCGTGTCATTGATCTGTTCTCTATATTCGTAAAAGCAGACTGTCGTCGAGATCTATAAGAGTTCGAGAATAATTCTACTCGTGACGCACATGATTGCCACCGGCTGAAGGAACAGCTATTTTTTTGCATAACTCTTCGCAATGCGTTTCATTTTACAATGGTAATAAAAAAAAAAAAAAAAAATTATAGACCGTAAAGCAGGGAAAAATCCTTTCGATCGACTTTCTGCCACTTCGATGGCTTAGCAGCAGAATTTTTACTTCCGTCAATAGAGCGTATTCCGTAATGCATTACTCTTTTTCAAATGAAATTCGTTGCTTCTCGAGAGAAGAAATATTTTAATGCGAGGAGAAAATAAACAAATAAAATGATTATTTAATGAGAAATTACGTTATTCATTATAAAAATTATCTTATCCGAGAGAAAATTTATTTCGAGAGTTCGTTCCATATAAGCTATATATGTATAACTGGATATTGTGCAATCGGAAATTATAGTTGATAAAGTCATCGAAGAGGTCTTTGATCCCACGAAATTATTCGTCGAATATATAATCCTTTAAGATAATATAATTCTATCCATCACTCTCGCGTGAATAGAATACCAGGCGAAATATGTTCTAAACTCATTTGCAAGGCGAACATATTTTCCTTCACTTTTACTATATATAGGTACGTTACCTTAATTTCGATAGCGCTGTTTTTTTTCTACGATCACGATGCATATGGATGCAGTTTCTAGCTACAATTGCACTTTGCCTCCCGTGTAAATATATAGATGCATGCATACATACATATGCATAAATGTGTATAGGTACATGTATTATAATCATGGGGAGGATAAGTTTGGCACGCGCCAACTTTTACGATGTAATTTCTTATTCCCGAGCGTCGTAACCGCCTCTGATCGGCACGCGACTCTTGCGGATAACGATCGATTTTCGTCCCAAGAATATACATATAACTTATTATGTATCGAAATTATATATCTAATGTCTCTTGAAAAAGCTATGAAATATATCATAGACATTTCGATTGAGGAAAAAATAAAACCGCGGTTAAAATAACATTCGCCGACACTACAACAATAAGACACTTGTATATATCAATCACTTGTATATATACGGATAGCAGGAAGGTACCGTGTCATATCGATAAACGAAATTGACTCCTCGACGAGTCGAGTCATTTTCGAAACGTGTATTGATATCGCGGCTCGTGGCTTACGAATCCTGGTTCGCATTGACTCGAATCAATTTCCTTGGCTAGTCGATGCTTATCGACAACTCTGCTTCCTCTATCAATGTTTGCTTCGTGATCGATTGAGCTACGTTCGTTTAATTTTCATCGCGTAACGGTGGATCCCAGATTGGAAGCAGGACACGCGATCGCAAGATTCCGATTCATGATTTTCTGTCGAGTCTGGTGCAAATCGGTAATTAAAATCAACATAGTTTTTAGAAAGAAATATGCTATATTATTTTGTACCGATCATAACTTTTGCCACAAATTCAATTAGATATAATATTATTTGGATGTGTTCCAACTGATGAAAGAAAATTAATTTGATAATATAAAATAGTTAGAAAATGAGAATACGTATATGAAAACATATTGGAAACGCGATATAAAGATTGTCCCCAGTCGATTCGAATTGTCAGATATAAGAGGTCGATCTCTTTTATACTTTTATATACACATACAGATATACACACAACACGAATGCTTTCCAAAGTGCATTACTTCTAATGCTGTATTGAAAGTTTTGTTGGTTCACAGATACTTTAGTTACTTTGCACTTTCATGTCTTTTCTTTATCTTTCAAGCCATTTGCTTTCCATGAAGCTTCTGTTTCAAATTTTTTTAAATAAAACCTATTTATGCTTTCATACAATACGAATGCAATTTGTATTCAAATACATGTATATATTTTTAAAAATATGTTATTTCTTTCTCCTCATATATTACACATACACATACAATATTCACAAATTAACAAAGTAATGGGTAATTAGCGCGCGTTAAATATTAAATATATATATATATATATATATTTTTTTTAATTTGAAATAATCTTTCTACAACATTAATAAATTATATACACATACACATCTGCCAAGATATGTTACAATACTTTTAAATGGATGCATATACTATGCAAATATTGAAAATATTTCAAAATCGCCCTATAAAGAGCAAAGTATAGAGAAATAAAAAAGCTCTAGCTTAATGTTATTTATATATATATATGCAAGTCGCATGTATGCACACACATTATGTATGTACACACATACATGATTCGATCATCGAGTCTCACAAGTAGAAATATATGTATAAACCTTTATTTGTTCTATAATTTTATTTTAATAATATAACTCCACACATAATTTCGCCGTGTTATTTCACTTAAGCTGCTAAATACAAAATATATACCTACTCCCACGGACATTTGCATTTATATTGGCTTATTATACGCGCGGCCTGTATTACTCAGCGAAGCACCACCTGCACCATCGCCACCTTTATCCTACGGTTATTCTACTTGGCACATTTTTATGCAATCGATACGTTTTCAGTAAAGAGTTTAATGCTGATCGAATAGCGGATATAA